CCAAACAAGCTAAACAGCCCAATCACCACCACCACCCCAACATCAGCAGTGTAGGCCACTAGAATATGCAGTAAATTGACAACAAACCCAACTCTCTACTAGCCCTGATGATATTCCTAATGTCCACAAGAAAACAACCACGCTCAGAGAGCACCAAAGACCCCTGATATACAAATATTTTCCTTTATTGATAACTAAAGAGATATTCGATCATTCTGAGCTAAGAGTACAAGCCACTTATGTATTTTCTAACCAAATGAAATGTTGCTTCTGATCATTGTCAAATGCACATACCAGGGCAGATAACTTGAGATAAAATTAAACATGGAGAGAGATTTAAATATTTTGACTTGGTGTCCAGTGGTGGGATGCAACCGGTTTTACAACCGATTTGGTGAGCGCGCACATGTTGTGTTCAAAAACTGTCCATTTTAAGCTTTAAAACTTACCTTCTATGTCAGCGTTGGTGAGTAAAACAGCTGATGCGTGGCAATCTGCTGTGCCACACCCATCAGCTGAGCTAAAAAACAGGAAAATATAGGACAGGAAAGGGTGGGCAGGGCCAACTGTTCACCGGAACTACCGGTTCGCTAGAACCAGTGTGAACCGATAGAATCCCACCACTGCTGGTGTCTGTTCATTTGTCTAACACCATAATGGTTTGTTTAAGAATCTTTAAAATCTTTACCAACAAGGAGAGACAAAGCAAAGCCAACTGGAGCTTGAACCCACACCAGTCCTCTTGAAGGGAGGTAGACAATTTCAGCCGTGCCATTGATGTAGGCTCCTCCAACCCATGTTGCTGAAAGGAACCAAGAAAAGGGAAAATGAAGTGAATAAAAAAGACATGGATAATTATAGACGGTCCTTGACTTACAACCAAGGTCCCAAAGTTTTGTTGCTAAGCGAGACAGTTGTTAAGTGAACATCGCCCCATTTTACAACATTTCTTGCCACCGTTGCTAAGTGGATCGCCGCAGTTATTAAGTTAAGACATTCTTAGTCAGCTGGGGAGGATCGGATCACTCAAGATTAAAAGCATGTTGTTTCCAATCCCCAGATTTTGACTAAACCTGCTCTAGCTCATTTTCTGTTGGCACACCAGCCTTGCATTCACTGTAAGAGAATAACAGAATAACAGAGTTGGAGGGGACCTTGAAGGTCTTCTAGTCCAACCCCCTGCTCAAGCAGGAGACCCTACGCCATTTCAGGAAAATGGTTGTCCAATCTCTTCTTAAAAACTTCCAGTGTTGGAGCATCCACAACTGCTTGGAGGCAAGTTGTTCTGCTGAGGAATTGTTCTCACTGTCAGGAAATGACTCCTCCTCCAACCTCCAGTGTTGGAGCACCCACAGCTTCAGAAAGCAAGCTCTTCCTCTAGTTAATTGTTCTCATTGTCTGGAAAATTCTCCTTTTTTTTTTTCAAGTTTTCTTCCCGATTAGTTACCATCCATTGCTGCTTGTCCTACCTTCAAGTGCTTTGGGGAATAATGACCCCTTCTTTTTTATGTACAATGAGAGCTTATGCACTGAAGACAAATTCCTTGTGTGTCCAATCACACTTGGCCAATAAAGAATTCTATTCTAATTCTACTCTACTTCTACTCTAGTCTACTCTCTTCTCTTCTATCCTATCCTATTCTTTTTCTACTCTACTTCTACTCTACTCTACTCTACTCTATTCTATTCTATTTTGCATTTCAGCCCCTTAGATGTGGGAACACTTGCTATCATATCCCCCAGTCCAGAGTAAGCATTAGAGTAAAAGATGCTATTTATCATTCTGAAGTCTTTTTACTTACCAGTTGCTGTGAACAACCCAATGCAAAAATTCATGTTCCTGCCTCCCACCATGGCTACTTCACTGGGCTTCTGGTGTTCCTTCTGTCTGGTTTTCCGAGAAGCCCATATTCCAATAGCTAAAGTCAGGGCATAGAATAAAAGCAGAGCTACTAAGCCACTGATATTCAAAGCCATTTTTCATAAAAATCTCAAGAACGGACTGAAAATGGATCCGGGGAGTGAGCAAATGATGCGAACCGGACAGAAGTGCCTTACAGAATGCTCCCTGGCTTTGTAGAAACCACGCAGAAGAGCTGTAACCTTGTGATAAAGACAGTTGTTTCTTCTCTAGACAAAACAATCTCTTGAGTCTTTAAAATATTAGATAAGAATAATTCTTTTGCTTCTGAGTTGGGTGCTCCAAATTCATCCACCAATATATTTCTTTATACAAAGTGGACAAAAGCGGTGTAAAGTTTTCTGCCTAAGCAGGGGGTTGGACTAGAAGACCTCCAAGGTCCCTTCCAATTCTGTTATTCTATTCTAATATTCTAAAGTTAGATCTGTATTGTTTTTTAAATGAGATTGTATCCAGCCTGTCGGAGTGTTTGCAGTGTGACTGCTGTTGTGGGACAACCCAGGAGCAAAACACAGGACACAGAGGCTTTGTCTTTTAACAGTGGTTTATACACAAGACTGCTATATACATACATACGCGTGTTAGGCAAATATCAGGCAAGCCATCAACCTTCAACTTTACATGGAGAACTACAATGGAGATAGAACATGAGGAGAGAGAGGAGAGAGAGGCGCCCTTATATAGACAGCTTCTTATGGCCGCCCTTATATAGACAGCTTCTTAAAGTGGCAGTACTCTGCTGACTCATCCTCAGTTCATCATCTTGGCTTATAGCTTTACAGCAACTGGTCAGCTATTAAATCTTCATTACCTTAACACAGCCATAACTTTTTTTTTTCATTTCTCTTTCCAGTTTTTTTTCCCCTAACTTAGTTTCTGATCCACCTCAAATTGCAAATTGTGTTTGATGCACTTGGGTGGAACGGTTCTCTGCTGTAATTCCCTCCCGCCCCCTTAAATATTTGCAAGAAGCTGTATTTGTTGGATTGAACCAGCTTGGGTGTATGTGAAAGTATAGGCCTTCTTCAAGTACTACACTCCCGTGTAGAAAGTTTGAGGAATTAGATCCTGGGTTCACTACGGGTAGTCCTCAACGTATGACAACAATTGAGCCCAAAATTTCTGTTGTTAAGTGAGACATCGGTTAAGTGAGTTTTGCCCCATTTTATGACCTTTCTTGCCATGGTTGTTAAGTGAATCAGTGCGGTTGATAAGTTAGTCACCCGGTTGTTAAGCGAATCTGTTAAGGGGATCACATGACCCGGGACACTGCAACCGTCATAAGTATGAACCAGTTGCCATGCATCTGAATTTTGATCACATGATCATGGGGATGCTACAAAGATTGTAACTGTGAAAAACGGCCATAAGTCACTTTTTTCAGTGCCATCGTAATTAAATGAATTAAACAGTCACTAAATGAACTGTTGTAAGTTGAGGACTACCTGTATTCCATTCTGAAGCCCACAGATCCATCTGACACCGATTGGACTGTTCAACCTTAGGTCTAGAAGCTACTTCTAGCCAGTCACTTGGTTCTGATAACAGGACCAAGTGATTGGCCTAGAAGCTTGTATTTCAATCTTTCTGTCTACTTTTTCTTATCTGAAATACTGTAGTATAGGTTCTCCTGCTTGAGCAGTGGGCTGGACTAGAAGACCTCCAAGGTCCCTTCCAGCTTATTCATTCTGTTCTATTCCATTCTTTCCAGGTCATTATGTGTAATAGAGGACTTTCTCCCTAGACTGTGCTATTTGGGAGTACCCTTGGACTGACACAGTGATCCCCAAACTTGGCAACTTTAAGATTTGTGGACTTCAACTTCCAGAATACTGGCTGAAGAATTCTGGGAGTTGAAGTCCACAAGTTTAAAATTGCCAAGTCTGGAGACCTCTGGACTGACACCTATAACCATCTGACATCCTGTTATTGTATTTACACCTGACATTCTTGTCTTGGACAACCCCCTAGACTTCAATAGAAATACTTGTTTTATTCATTGACTCTTAAATTCTTGTTTTTTCCTTCCCACAGAAAACAAAGAACTATGACTTAAGCCCCACTTAATCACAAACTACACAGTTGTAAGGAGCACCTCCTGTGCCTTTCAGAAACCTTGACTGGACCTGTTTTGTTTTGTTTCAGATCATGATCACCAATTATGTTGCAAGGATAATTTTCTTCATAATATATCCTCCAACTTTGCAGGTTTGTCTTCCAAATTGGCAGCTGACAGATTGCTGAACTATTTTGTTGCTGTAGTTGTACGTTGTCCTTCACCAAACTGACCTAGAAATAGATGGCTGTCTGGACTTTTACTTCTTTTCTTGATACAGATGTTTCTTGTGTATCTCAAAGGCAACTTTGGTTGGAAATGTGACTCGTATTTGGATTTGACAACTTACAACCTAGACCAGGGGCGGGAAACTATGTCCCCCTTTACGACCTGTGGACTTCAACTCCTATAATTGAATTCAACTCCCACGGTGGTCTAGGAATTCTGGGAGTTGAAATCCACAGGTCATAAAAGGGCCATAGTTGCTTACCCCTCATCTACAGAAACCCCTAAAGAAGATTGGTATTGGATGTGTAGGACTGTTCCTGAGTCAGCCATCTTTAGGGGTTTGTCTAGGTCAGAGTTGGGCAACTATGGCCCTTTTACAACCTGTGGACTCCAATTTCCAGAATTCCTCAGTCAGCATGATAGACCCAGCTTGTAACAAAGCAATTCAGATGGACTAGATTTGGTTGAAGTTAATGCATGTCTCACTTGCAAAAAAAAACTTTAATAATTTACTAATAAATTAAAGGTCCAGGCCCTGATGTGTAGGCAATCACATGACTGTGGGTTTGTTTTTTTTTCAAACTCCATATCCAAGCCAAAGCAAAGCGATTCTTAATGACATCATGGGCTCCTCTTAACCTCATTGGCTGGAGGTTGCCATGGCAAATGTCAACATTTCCGGCATCGTTGATTCTTTTGGACAGCAGCACTGCAACATCCAGTTCAAAATAACTGGATCAGAAGAAAAGTGATTCAAAAATTATTTTATTTAGTATTTATTTAAATAAGGGGAAAGATCAGAAAAAGCAGACAATGTCCTTGGAGGATCTCTCGGCAACCAATAGGAATTTCCGTCTCCAGGTAGAGGAACTGAGAGAGAACGTAGCCTGCTTGGACGCCGAGAACCAGGAGTTTCTCCAGGAGAAGAAATACATCAAAGAGCAGCATAGGTGTCTTCGGGAGACAGTAGATCACCTTAAATCCACCATGGACCACCTGCAGAAAACTGTGGAGGACATCAGAGAAAGTTTGGATCATGTCAACATGGCGATCCACGAATTAGCGCTGCAGAACAAGTCCTTGGTGAAAGCCAACAGCGACCTCAACCAGGAAATGCACGAAGTCACCAGCCAAGTGGCCGTCTTCAAAAACGACAAACCAACCCACGAGAATGACCTCAGGGAGATGCGGAACCTTCCGTCGGAGGTTCAGAAGTACCTGCGGAACCTGGAGGACAAACTTGTGGAGACAGAGCACAGCTACCGCGTGGAGAAAACCCAATCCGGCCAATTGAAGGAGAAAATCACGACAATCCAGAAAGCCAGGGAACACCTGAGGAAGCGCATCAAAGAGCTTCAGAACCAACAGGACCTATGCGTGCAGCAGGCCACATTTATGCGGCTGGACCAGGAGAACCAGGTGCCGACAGGCATCCTGATGCATGAACTCGTGGAGGCCAGGCTGGTGGGGGTGGCCCGGGACGGGACAAAGGAAAGGATTCTGCATTGGTTATGGATGGCAGCCAAAATCCTGATGATGTTGCTCTTTGGCTGTTGTGTATTGTTTGGTCTTGCCTTGGCATACACGCGCTTTTTTAATCCGTTGTTCATTTCTGACACACTTTTGGTGTTCCTCAGTGACCAGAGCATCGACAGACTTCTGCACTGTTTCTCCCCGTATCTTGAACAGACAAACGATGGCCTTTTACCATTTTGAGAAATGAAATTCTTTCTCTCCCTTCGTTGACTTTCTACCTAGGATGCAAGTAGAAGGGCATACCTGATAATTGAGTTTGGTGGACAACAAAAATGGATTCTGCGTCTTGGATCTCCAGCGTTGAAATCTCTATATAAACCATAGATATATGTATATAAATATTTTTTCTATTGTTGGCCCTATCTTTTTTCCCCTGTTGTTTTATTGTTTCTTCTTTCAGCTTTTGCTTAATTAAAGAAAATCAAAAATAAACACTAATTAATCCATCACGTTTTCCTTCTACAGCTTTCCAAAGTTGAGAGAAGATACACAAAAGGGAGCAAATCAGAATCAATTCTCACAGGATCCAATTCACTTGAATAAATCATTGGCATGAGAACCTATCTACCTTGTAGTACCAGTTAAGTTTGGGGAATCTTAGCTATCTCAACCTGAATATCCCAAAGTTGCTTGTTTTCATGAGGAAACTGGACTTTCCTGTTTTTCTTTGAAGACATTTCGCTTCTCATCCAAGAAGCTTCTTCAGCTCTGACTGGAGATGGTGGGGAAATGGGAGGATTTATGCTCCTTGCAGACAGCTGGTCATTTGCATTCTTTTAGCGAAATGTTAAGGTCACCTGGAGGTTTATCTGTGTCCTCAGCATCACCTGAGTGGTGCAAATGGGGGTGGAGCCTTCTTGGAACTGTTGAAAGGACTGTATTGTAGATTGGAGATAGACGATGTCATATGGCCTCTCTGTTCAATTTTGACATAGATGGCCTCTTTGGCCCCTCTTGATCTATTTTGATCTATGTCAAAACTGAATAGCCCTCTCTCAATGGAAGGGGAGGGGTACGGCAACATTTTATCACCAATCTACAACACAATCCTTTCGGCAGTTCCAAGAAGGCGCCACACCCATTTGCACTACTCAGGTGACCCCGAGGACACAGCAAACCTCCAAGTGTCCTCAACAACTTTCTAAAAGGATGCAAGTGACCAGCTGTCTGCAAGGAGTATAAATCCTTCCATTCCCCACCATCCAGTCAGAGCTGAAGAAGCTTCTTGGATGAGAAGCGAAACGTCTTCAAAGAAAAAAACCAGAAAGTTCCAGTTGCCTCTTGATAAAGCGCCTTTAGGACAATCATGACCTGGATGACTGAGAATCTCCATAGACATCTCTCAAACTGAATGTAATTTAAGGATATTAAATGGTGTCATCTGCCAGATGTCCAGGATGTATATATGTGTTTTTAAATGGGTGGACTTGTGACAGTTTGAGAAAGTTGTGATAGAGCTTCAAAGGAGCACATGTGCAGGAAGTTATCTGGCTTCATGGTGTTTGGTGAAAACTCTTCCCATGCCAGCTGGGGAATTCTGGGATCAGTAGTTCATCTATGCCCACTGGGGAATTCTGGGTGTGAAGTCCACATATCTTCAAGCGACCTGCATTTTTCCAAGCAATGCAGGTTTTTGTAAAAGCCCTTGGATGAAACAGGAATAGATGAATCTAACTCATAAAATACAGATAGTCAACTTAGGACCAAAATGGAACCTGCCCATTATGGTTATAACTCATGGTGGTCACGTGACAAACCTGATTTTATGATTATTATTTTTTTACAATGGCTATTAAGCAAACATCACACAGTCGTGAAGCAAACACCATGGTCACTAAGTGAAGCAAGTGTTTGCTATGGGATGGTTCTGCCAGAAGCTGCAATTAAATGCAACTCCAGTTAAGATTTTGAGCAGTTTCTGAACCATCTGGAGAGGATATTAGATCAGGAATGATTAAATCTTTGAGATCTCAGTTAATTGAGAAGAAAAGAAATTGGATCTTGAAATGTTGATGTTATATGTGTTGATGGCAGCAAGAATACTCTATGCACAAAAATGGAAAGATACTTTGATTCCCACAATGGACAAATGGCTGCAAAAGTAGATGGACTTAGAAGAGATGGCTAAACTGACTGCTTGGATTAAAGAAAAGTACACAATGTTGTTTCTGCTTGGAAACCATTTTTGAACTTTGTGCTTGAGATGGGGGGGGGAAATGAAACTTTGATGTTATGTTTTGCTGGTTAAATAGGTTTGTCATTATAGAAATGGCTAGTATATATTATTATATAAAAGTAAACATCATGGTTTCATGTTGTTATTACCTTACTCTGTCTACTGCACCAAAAGGAGTCGGAAGTCAATTCCTTTTTTTCTTTTTCCCCTCTACCTACAAACTTGAAATTTGGCATATATGTTCCTCTTGGCTTCCAGGTGCTTGAAAATCCAGAACGAAACACCAGTGTTCTTTCATTATTTACGACAGGATTTCGCAACCCTGGCAACTTTGAAATCTATATATATAAAAGCGAAATACCACTCACTCATCATCACAAAATCTCCAGAACTGTAAAACCTACAAACTTGAAATTTGGCACGTATGTTTTTCTTGGCTTCTAGGTGCTCACTAAGAAAGGATTTTTCGAAATGACCATCAGAGCACTAGTATTTTGTATATTATTATTAACACACGGTGATGCTAAGGACTTCTACTCCCCCTCCCCACCTGAAAAGAAATCTCTTCCAAATGTAAAACACAAGCAGAGGAGTTTCAGTTTTAGTTTCACAGCACCAAGCAGCTTTATAGTTGAGCTAAGCCACACCCAGGCTCCTTGCTGTCTCCTTGCTCACACAGCAAATACTGCTTCAGTTTCCAAAAAGCCCTCAACCCAGAAATATTAGCTCTATCTTTCTTTTAAGGTTATATTAACAACATCTTGCAAGGTAAGAACATCTCTGACCCCCCCTCAGTTTTACAGTGCAAGAAACTAGAGATATTTTCCATAACCTCATTTCCTGCTGAGGTTCAACTATCTCTTATCTTACTGTCAGCTAGCCTGTAGGTCTTTCTTCTGTCTCCCAAGGTTATTCACAAACATCATTAGGTCCAGAGACTCCAGGATGTGCTGTGAAGGGTGGAGATAGCAGGGGACCTCAGAGGACACGCCCCAAGAGGGGGGGGAACAGAGGGTGTCAGACTGGCTCGCTTGTTCGAGGGTCAGACCAGTCCCACACGTGCAGCGATCCATCGCTTGCAGCCGAGAGTAATGTTTGGGGCTTCCAAGGGTGCCAAGTGTGGGTGGTGACCACCGGGCTGCCCCCATCCTTGCCTGGGGTGCTGAAGATGTGTCCTTTGTGAATGAACACCGGCTTGGCTTCCTGCCCTGAGGAGTCCCAGTCCTGTGTATTGTAAACCTGAACGGTCCCGTCAAAACCTTGGAGAAATGAAAAATTGAAATAAATAGCAAATAGTACTTAGACTTATATACTGCTTCGCAGTGCTTTACAGCCTTCTCTAAGTGGTTTACAGAGTCAGCATATTCCCCCCTCCCCCAACAATCTGGGTCAAATGCTTTGTTGGAAGGGTGCAAGAGAGACGGGGGGGGGTCGAACCTGGGGGTGGCACATAAGGGAAAAATGGTGTGAAACAAATATGTTCTTTATTAAACCCAAAGGGTTACGGAGAAAAAGTGAGAGAAGGCAGCATTTGATCTATTGGTTAAGGCAGGGGTGTCAAAATGGCGGCCCACAGGCTGGATGCATCATGCATAGGCCACGCCCACCCCAGCTCTGTGAAGGGAAAAAATATTGCGAAATTTCAGTTTGACCCCGGTGGATTAAAGTGCCGTCTTAGAAACCAGGAGACAGTGACTTCTAGTTCTGCTTTAGGCAGGGGTGGGATTCTAGTGGTTCGGCCCAGTTCAGGTGAACCGGTAGCTCCGAGGATCAGCTGGGAGAGAACTGGTTCGCTCCAACGATCAGCTGTTGGGCCTCCCCACCTGCCCTGGCTCTAGTCTGTGCTTTATATCCTGATTTTCAGGGTCAGCTGATTCGCGCAGCACAGTGGATTGCCGTGCACCAGCTGTTTAACACACAGGGGTTGCAGAAGAAGATCAGTAGCAAACGCTCTGTGCATGCGCAAAGCGTACGTTTGACGTGCAAAGTCCGCACTCACCGAACCAGTTGTTACACCGGTTGAATCGTACCCTGGCTTTAGGCATGAAAGTTAGGTGGACTTTGGACCAATTACCGGGAGATTGTGAATTCTAGTCCCTCCTTAGTCCTGAAAGCCAGTTGGGTGATCTTGGACCAGTCCCTCTCACCCAGTCCAACCCATCTCATAAGGTTGTTCTTACGGGGACAACAGGAGAAGGAAGTTGTGACCCACAGGTGACATGACTCAGCTGAGCCCCTGTGCAAATTGTGACCATTTATCAATCAGGCTGCTCCTCCGCTTTGCACACCACCCACCCGTGCAGACCCCGTAAGGATGATGGTGGCAAAAGCAGCAAGCGGCCTTGCAAAGGTAAGGACCATCACAGCTTACCTGACACCGCCAGGTTGTCGCCCAGTACAGGAGCCAAGCTGATGGACAGGAAGTCTGCCCCACGGAGATTAGAGGTGGGTGCACAGCATTGGGCCATTTTCAGGGGGCTGGAAGGGTGTCTGATGTCTGTCAACACAACGAGGCCGCCCACGGAGAGACGGGCAATCAGTGGCGCCTCTCCAGAGCCGACTCCTGCACACCAGCTCAGCCCCTCCATCTGGGCCCAAGGGGTCTGAGCCTCCTCGAGCTCTCCCAGAATCCCCTGCTGCTGCCGGAAGTCCACAAGGAACAGCTGCCCTTTGGCACCACACACCACAGCGGTGGCTTCATCCAGGAAGTCCAGACTGGCAATTTTGTCAAGGCTGGCAGAGCCTGAAGGAGGAAAGAATTGAGTGGGTTGTGGGAGACAACTCTGTCACGAGAAGCGAGTTCAAATGATGGTTCCCCCCAAAAAACTAACTTTGAGCCAATCATGAGGAGACGATGGGTTTCTAGTCTTTCTTTAGGCATGAAAGCCAACTGGGTGACTTTTGGGCAATCACCAGGAGACTGTGAATTCTAGTTCCACGTTACATGAGAAAACCGGCTGGATGTCTTTGAGCCAATCACCAGGAGACTCTGAGTTCTAGTCCTGCCTTAGGCAGAAAAGTTGGATGGATGACTTTGGCCTAGTCCAGGGGTGTCCAAACTTGGAAACTTGCTAGCTGGGGAATTCTGGGAGTTGAAGTTCACAAGTGTTAAAGTTTCCAAGTTTGAAGACCTTTGGCCTAGTCATTCTCCCTCAGCCCAATCCACCTCAAGGGACTGTTGTGGGGAAAATAACAGAAAGGTGTGTTGCATATGTTAGTTCTCATGAGTTACTTATAAAGTAATACAGGTGGGATACTAATAAAATAAAGAAATAAATACATCTATAAATCACATTTATATTTTTAATGTGTGTGTCAGTATGTACATAGAAAAAGTGATACTAAGTTATCTTCTATATAATCTGTATTCTGAAAAGCAGAAAACACTCTGCTACGAGTTTGTAGATCTCTTTGATCATTCTCAAGGAAGGCTATCTGAAGTTCTGTATAAAAGCCGGTATGCAAATTCCTAAACCCATTGAAGACCAAAATCATGATTATCGTTGGCAACCTCCAAAAATCAGTTCCCAGTTTTGCGGCAACCTGGTAGTACAACTGGCTTTATATCTGTAGTGTAGATACACCTGTAATTAGAATGGAGGCTTTCTCTCTAATTTTTGTTACAAACACTGCAGTTCTGGGAAAAATAATTCTGCTATGATTGCAAAGCATACACATTCATAAATCCCCTTCCTGTTTTCTTGAATTTAATCTGAGATCAAAAAGCAAAGCGAGGAACGGAAACAAAATCAGCATCTCTCCCTATTTCTAACCCTTTGGAAAGCTCTCTTCCTAAGAAAGGATTTTGGAGATGGTTTTCAAACAAACTGCCTACCAGCCACCCAAAGACTTTTCTCTGATTCGATTTCTGTCATTTGGAGATTGGAGATTCTTTGCCCATGGAGGACGCAGGCCGGTTTGGCACAGCTGGTTGCAATTTTGGACCAGGAAGTATCTTCAGTCTTTGTGGGAGTGGTGACACTCAGTAGCTTAATCATATCTAGGGTGGAGGAGAGGAAAGAAATAAGAATTTCCACAAGACTTCATTTCCATCTACAAGTAGTCCTCAACGTATGAACACAATTGGGACCTGAACTTCCCTTGTTAAGGAAAGTGGTTGTTAAGTGCTCAATTTTACGATAATTTTTGCACTGGTTGTTAAGCGAATCACATTGTCATTAAGAAAATCCAAGCTTTCCCGATTGACTTTGCTTGTCAGAAGCTGTCTGGCAAAGTTGCAAATGGCAATCACATTACCTTGAAACAATGCAACTGTTATAAATATACACACCATCTGCCAAGCATCCAAATTTGGATCACATGACTTGGGGGGTACTGCAATGGCTGTAAGTGTGAGGAATGGTTGTAGATCACTTTTTTCAACGCCACTGTGACGTTGAATGGTTGCTAAACAAATGGTTGTAAGTTAAAAACTCTTTGTAGTTTCCAAAGCGTCACTTTTCTCCGATTTCTCTCCCTTTGGAGATCACAGCTCAGCCTTTTTTCCTGGGTATTCTACTAGGTGCCTGGCTGAAATCATACTGGCATCAAGAAAAGCGCCAGCCTCTGAGCACCGGTAAGTCAAGAATTATAAGGCGAAGGTTAGAAGAAAAGCAATTTTCTGTGTGTATCTTCAAAGTAGAACGGCAAAGATATATCAGAGATATACAAACATCATCAAACCTCTGTTTGTATCATCAAAACATAGTGGGTGGTTGGAGTGGATGACCTACAAGGTCCTTTCCAACTCTGCTAATCTGTAATCTATAAAACGCCTTTCAGGAAGGTGTTGTTTTTTTTAAGGTGGCTTTCATTCAATTTCACCAACCCAGCTTATTCCTTCAAAATTCACAGAATTAGCATTATTTGTGTCAGTGTGTCTCATGGCTACCTGGAGAATTCTGGGAATTGAAGTCGACCCATCTTCAAGTTTCTAAGGCTGAGAAATACTGGTTTATGCTAACAGTTGTGAGGAATTTACATTATGGAAAAGGACCCGGGTGTCTTCTTTAGAAAAGCAACTAATTAAACTGTGGGAGCGAGAAAGCTTTTCATCCTTATCCCTGCAAACTGAGTGGGGTCTGGTTGAAACCCAGTTAGGAAGTGGAGTAGTTTCTCGGAGGCACACCTGTTTCATCTGGTTCCATGCACCAAACCTGTAGTCCACTGTCCGGTGGCCCACTGGTTACCAACAAGCTGAAAGCACAAATCAAGAAACAGAGCAGTGAAGATAATTCCTTCTCCATCACACAAAAGGTCCACTTTAAGATGGGTGGACTTCAACTCCCAGAATTCTGGAAGTGGAAGTCCATCCATCTTAAAAGTTTGTAAGGTTAAGAAACGCTGCTATAAACAAGGCTAAACTGAGATGGGGGGGGTCAGGATGTTGGTGGGAACAGCTCCAGTCTGAACTGTTCAGAGTTTTGCAGCGTAAATTCAGCACCAGAAAAAATAAACACAGATGGCCGGTGCTTCATTTAACATCTTTATAAACATAAGTAGATTTTACAAACCAGTTGTAGATTTCTCCAACATGGAGCAAACTCAGACAGAAACATGTTGCAAGTAACTTCAGTAGCAACTCAGCAGCTCAGAAACAGACATCAGTTTCACTTTTTTTTTTCTCAACAGGCAAGCAAGCAAGCAAGTTAATTCATCTTCTATGGACAGATTCAGAGCTCAACGTAGCTTCAGAGCTGCAGAGCTTTGAGTTCAGAAAACTGGGAAATCAACTTATCTCTTTGATAATGTCTCATTTCTATCCCGTGAAACGTGAATAGAATAGAATTCCTTATTGACCAAGTGTGATTGGACGCACAAGGAATTTGTCTTGGTGCAAATGCTCTCAGTGTACATAAAAGAAAAAATACATTCGTCAAGAATCATAAGGTACAACACTTAATGATAGTTATAGGTACAAATAAGCAATCAAATCATACTAGGAAACAGTCAATATAAATCATAAGGATACAAGCAACAAGGTTACAGTCATACAGTCATAAGTGGGAGGAGATGGGTGAAAGGAAGGATGGGAGGATTAATAGTAATAGGAATGCAGACTTAGTAAATACTTCGATAGTGTTGAGGGAATTATTTGTTTAGCAGAGTCATGGCGTTTGGGAGAATTTGGTGACCTTCTGAAGAGGCCCTTGTTGAATTCAGAGAGAGCCATGGAGATTCATGCTACGTATCCTTGAACAAGGATGAGTATGAGGAAAACAGATAAGACACATAGAAGGAATGTGCGGTAACTGAGATAACCTTGAAGTCCTTAGCTCCCTGTACACTTTATCAAAACGACTATGGCAATGTAACCAACATGTTCCTTTTTATTAAGATTCTAACTCTTGCTCGAGGTTAGTAACGGCAGAAGGTTGAGGAAGTATACACAGTCCTCGACTTACAACTACAAGTGAAACCAACATTTCTGTTGCTAAATGAAATGTTCGTTAAGTGAGTTTTTTCTCTCCCTTTTACAACCTTGCCACGGCTGTTAAGTCAGTCACTGCAGTTGTTAAGTTAGTAACACAGGTTGTTAAGTGAATCTGGCTTCCCCATTGACTTTGCTTGTCAGAAGGGGATCACATGGCCCTGGGACACTGCAACGGTCATAAACACGAGTCAATTGCCAAGTATCTGAATTTTAATCAAGTGATCATGAGGATGCTACAACAGTTGTGTGAAAAACAACCATACGTTACTCTTTTCGGTGCCATTGGTCACTAACTTTGTACTAATTTAGTAACATTGGTCACTAAATGAACTGTTGTTAACCTGTAACTTGAGGTCTGCTGATTATGAATATTTATGCTTACATCATCTATTACCCATGCATATGTGTGATTGTATCATTTTCTCCTCCATTCCTGAAATATATGAATATGAGTGCATTCTTTTGCCTATAGGAATTCCTACAGTGCATAGTTTTAAATAAATACTACAGTGAGCCTTGATTATTGGTTTTTGGGGTCCCATGTTTGATAGCACATTAGCATCCTGAATGCTTCAGACCCTAAAAATCACAGTCCCATCATCCACATCAAGCCTGTGTGCAATGTGTGAAACTCATCAGTATATTCACAAGAGATCCCCGCAGCACAATTACTTCACGCACAAAAATGGAAGGGTGTTTCAATGGAGGAATGGTTGCAAAAGCTGGTGGAGATAGCATAGATGGCTAAATTGATTGCTTTGCTCAAAGAAAAAAAAATAGAAGTAGTTTTGGAAACCTGGAAATCGTTTCTGGACTTTGGGCTTGAGGTGGAAAAAAAATGAAACTTTGATTTTGGGTTTCACTGATTAGATAGATGTGTTGTTGCAGAAATGGCTAGTTTAGTGGTGGCTAACCTTTTTGGGCTCCTGTGCCAAAAATTGTGCACATGATTGCACGCTCATGCTTGCGTGCTAGCACCCAGAAGGCAATGCACACACCCCAATGCCCCTACGCATGCATGCACAATCCCCACCCACCCACTCCCGCCACTCCCTAACCTGCACTGCACCACACAGCTATTTTCAGTCAGTTTGAGACCTTTTTCGGCCTTCCAGAAATTTGAGGAAGGTTTCTGCAGGCCGAAAACTAGGCCTGTTTTGTCACTTCTGGTATTTCCGGAAAAACAGGAAGTGATGAAACAGGCCTAGTCTTCGTCCTGAAAAGCCTGCAGAAGCCTACAGAAGCCTTCCTCAAGCCTCTGGGAGTCCAAAAAAGGCCTCAAACCAGCTGAAAATCAGCTGTGAGGCGCGCGCATGCGCAGTGAGGCAAGTTTGCCTGCAGCTCGGCTCTGAGTGCCACCTGTGGCACGCGCGCCATAGGTTCATCATCACAGGGCTAGTTTATACTATTATGTAAAAGTAAAAAGTTGAGGTTTGATGTCACTTTTTATTCTACTGCACCAAAGAGAGTTAGAAATCAATACCTTTTCTTTCTTTTTCCCTTCTCTACACTTTTCCCTTCCCTTTTCCCTATTATTTACTTTTGCATTTTATGTTATAAACTAATAAAAAGGATTGTCCAAATTTTTTTTATAAAGACAAGAACGCCGTATCTCTGGCCCAGATTAGCACTCAAGTTGGCTATCAGTGGTCCAGTAATGTTTCTTTCAAATACAGTTTTTGCTTCTTCTTTTAGGCCTCCCTAACTCAACCTAAGTCACAAACAAAGCTTTTAACCTCCTACCTGGTTCCCGGGACATGTTTGAGCCTGTAGATGGGGCGATCACAGATTCCACCCCTTTCAACCTTGAAATCTCGCTCCGGACATAAGCCCTGCCAAAAAAAGTCCAAGGATCCATTCGTCATATTGAAAGAAAATAAAACAGCCAGAACAGCAAGATAACATTGGCCACAACTTAAAAAAAATAAAATAAAGGGAAAAGTTAACATCTGCACTGCCTGTTCCCTGTTGGTGCTAGAGGCTAGTGTCCAGCTCCCTGGTAGCATTGGGCTGATTGTGGAAAAGGGAAGCAAAGTCAGCCTTGAGTCACTGGGACGGTTAAGTACTGGTTGTCCTTGAGGCAGCTCCACCCCACGTAATTTATAGCTCAACTATTGCCCCTGTTTCCTGCCTCCCCCCAGGGTGTATCATAAATCACATTCTCCAACAGAGCCACCTTCCTGGGCTTTAGAGACCATGCCTTTGGGATACAGCCTTGATGCCTTTGGGATACAGCCTTGAGAAAGGTATACATTGCTGCACCAGCTCTCCCTCTTCTTGCCCATGGCAACTCAATAGCAGGCCAGGAATGCTTTACGAGTTGACACCTTGACTTACGACCATAACTGAGAGCAGAATTTCGGTTGCTAAGCCAGGTTGTCCCAAAGGTGCTTTTCCAAAAGGCAACTGGACTTGCATGCCTTTTTTCCCTTGAAAACGTTTCGCTTCTCATTCAAGACGCTTCTTCGGTTCTAAATGAATGGCGGGGAATGGATGGGTTTATACTCTTTATATTCACGCAAGCAGGTTGACAAGCGAATCACGTCCGATTTTACCTTTCTTGCCCTGATCAAGTGAATCACTTAGTTGTTAAGTGAATCACCTGGGTGTTAAGTGGATCTGGCTTCCCCCACAGACACCGCTTGTCAGAGACCAGCTGGGAAGGTTGCAAATGGCAACCACACGGATGCTGCAACTGCCATAAATACACATTGTCAAGTGCCCAAATTTCGATCACGTGACCGTGAGGACTATTTATATCTACCCTGGGCTACACATAGGTCCAATAACCATTCAGCATGATGAGAGTTGTAATCCTCAGATTTGGAGTGGGTCAGGGTAGGCAAGAGGCTCTGGGATGCTGGCTAAGCTTGAGGTAGTCCTTGTGTCTTCTTTGTTGTTGTTAGTCGTGAAGTCGTATCTGACCCACCGCGACCCCATGAACAATGTTCCTCCAGGCCTTCCTGTTCTCTACCATCTCCTGGAGTTTATTTAAGCTCACACCAACTGCTTCAGTGACTCCATCCAGCCACTTCATTCCCTGTCGTCCCCTTCTTCTTTTGCCCTCAATTGTTCCCAGCCTTAGGCTCTTCTCCAGGGAGTCATTCCTTCTCATTAGGTGGCCAAAGTATTTAGAGTTTCATCTTCAGGATCTGTCCTTCTAAAGAGCAGTCAGGGTTGATCTCCTCTAGGACTGACCAGTTTGATCGCCTTGCAGTCCAAGGGACTCGCAGGAGTCTTCTCCAGCACTATAGTTCAAAGTCCTCAATTCTTTGGCGCTCAGCCTTCCTTATGGTCCAACTTTCACAGCCATACATTGCAACTGGGAAAACCATAGCCTTGACTATATGCACTTTTGTTGGCAGGGTGATGTCTCTGCTTTTTAGTATGCTGTCTAGATTTGCCATAGCTTTCCTCCCAGGAGCAAGCATCTTTTAATTTCTTGGCTGTGATCCCCATCTGCAGTGATCTTGGAGCTCAGGAAAATAAAATCTGTCAATGCCTCCATTTCTCCATGTCTTTTTATATTTCCTATATACAGGTAGTCCTCGACTTACAACAATTCCTTTAGTAACCATTTAAACTTACAATGGAACTGAAAAAAGTGACTTACAACCCTGTTTCACACTTGCAAACCTTTGTAGCATCCCCATGGTTGTGTGATCAAAATTCAGATGCTTGGCAACTGGTTCATACTGGTTCAAGCCAGATTCATTTAACAGCCGTGTTACTAACATATCAACTGCAGTGATTCACTTAACAACTGTGGCAAGAAAGCTCATAAAATGGGGCAAAACTCACTTGACAACAACAGAAATTTTGGTCGTAAGTCGAGGACCGCCTTGTCATGCAAATCCAGTTACTGGGTTCTCTCTCCTTGGTGAATTCATCCAATCTCCCCAGAAAGCCATCTAAGTGAACAGCTTAGTTAACAGCAGCGCCTACATCTAGTGGACTTGCGTTCAAGGTGAGTTCCACAGGACACTTTTGCCCCAGAGAGCCACCTGGTTGCAGACAACCCTGCCAGTGTGATCTCTACTTTACCTTATTCTGTTTTGCAAGCAGCCTTGGAGGCAGAAGCAGCTGCAGAATTTCGTTCCTGCTCCCATTCTCGTATCCAGCGACACAAATGCCTGGAGGGAAAATCACGAACAATCTCGGTGTTGCAAACAGCCAAACAGACACACTACAACTAATCCTCAACTTACAACCGTTCATTGAGCAATCATTTGAAGTCACCATGGCACTGAAAAAGTCCACACATTCCCAGCCAGCCAGCTGTGCAAACAGGTGAGGCCAAATTCATTGAACAACTGCGGTGATTCCCTTAAGAACCATGGAGAGAAAAAAAAGTTCCTAAAATCAGGCGTGACTCACTTAATGCCTTGCTTAGCAACGGTCATTCTGAATCCAATTTTGGTCATATGTTGGGGACTACCTGTACTTATTGGGAAGCCACATGTTTTTTTCTTTAAACCGTCTCCCTACCTACCCCGTTGGAGCAATTATTTTCAACTTAGCCTTCCCACCAAGTTGGCTTCCTGATCTGTGCCACCAGAGAAGCTGATGGTTGTCTTGGAGTAGGGGAGTCAAACTCAAGGCCCGCGGGCTGCATCCAGCATGCAAGGTGCTTAGATCTGGCCCATGGGGCAGCCCTGCAAACAGCGAAGGACCGCCCTGCGGTGCCTCTGCCAGTGAAAATGGAGCTTAGGAGAGCTGCGCTCTGGCCCTCCTGAGTTCCATTTTTACTGGCAGAGGGCTGCAGGAGGCCATCACAGCTGAAAACGGAGCTTGGGAGCCCGTTTTAGCTGGCAGAGGGCTGCAGGAGGCCATCACAGCTGAAAACGGAGCTTGAGAGCCCATTTTAGCTGGCAGAGGGCTGCAGGAGGCCATCACAGCTGAAAACGGAGCTTGGGAGCCCGTTTTCACTGGCAGACGGCTGCAGGAGGCCATCACAGACAAAAACGGAGCTCGGAAGCCCATTTTTGCTGGCAGAGGGCTGCAGGTGGTTGTTGCAGCTGAAAACAGACCTCGGGTGCCTGCTTTCTCTGGCAGAACACTCAGGCTGCCACAGCCATCGACACTAATGACGTCTAGCTGTCCATGCCCACCCTGTCCATGCCCCCCATCCCCCCCCCCCCC